CCCTGTCTCGATCTCCCTTTCTCTCTCTAAATCCCTCCACATTTTTTCTGAATTTCCTTGTTTACGCGCTGTTTCAACTTGTTTCTCTCCCCCACTCGCCCTTTCTCTCTTTCCCTCCCTCCCTTTCTCTCTCCCTCCCTTTCTTTCTCCCTCCCTTTCTCTCTCTCCCGCTTTCCCTGTCTCGTTATCCCTTTTCTCTCTCTCTCCTTCTATACATTTATTTCTGTTCTTACTTTTTTATACGCTAATGTTTAAGCTTGTTTCTCTCTATCCCCCTTTCTCTCTCCCTCCCCGTCTCTCTTTTTCCCTCTCCCTGTCTTGCTCTCCCTTTCTCTCTTTCTTTCCCTCTCTACATTTCTGTTAAGTACTTAAGTAGCACTAATGCCACACTCAAGGAAAAACACGGTCTTAAACAAAAACGAGACCTAACTTAGTAAGAAAAACAAGATTTCTTAATCAATTAGATACTTTCCAGAAAAACAAAAACTAAAAGGAGTCGTAACTAAAATAAACAATTCACCTAACCTATTCGTCGCAGCGGACATAACTAGGAATTTATATGAACTAAGTCCCTTTCCCCCAAATACAACACACTACTCAAGTACAAAATAACTAAACATGTCGAAGAACAGGGATAAAAAAAATACAGAATACAATATCAACATGGAAGCTAAAAGAACCACCCTAGCATTAGATATAGACGGCCGAATACATTACCTCACTAAATCTCAAGCATTCATTAAACTAAAAAAAAAAAACGCCTAGAAAACTTTGAAACAAACACAGCAAGAAAACAGGCTCCTAAACCCAACTTAAAAATCAAGTAGGTAAAATAATTAAAATAATACGAGAAAAGATTAACTCAGAACTAAGGAAGAAGTTAGGAGGAGATCAATGAAAAAGCAAAAAAAAAAAAACTATAGACTGGTTCTGCAGCCTAAATAAACAAAACATAAAATAACACTACCCTTCTATGACAAAACACATGCTAGATAAGCCATCTTCTTAAAACAAGAACAAATAAAAATAAACACTCCCTATATATATATATATACTATATATATATATATATATATATATATATATTAACAGGTGTAATATTGGAGGAATCGAGACTTTTATCATAGAGTCTCAGTTACGCTGGACTGGTCATGTCTTGAGAATGTCTGATGACAGGATGCCCAAG